ATAACTTTTGAACTAGTGGAGCTATGACTTTCATATTTCACATATGTATTCCTTGTGATAAGACCTTTCTTTGGGTACCACCAAATTTGACCTTTTGACCTTGACCTTGGAGTTTGACCCACTTTTACACAAAAAAATTCATACTTTTACTTTGGCCATAACTTTTGAATCGTAGATACTAGGACTTTTATATTTCACATATTTATTTTTTGTGACAAGACCTTTCATTGGATATCAACAACTTTGACCTTTTGACCTTGACCTTGGAGATTTCTGAACTTATGAAAAAACTTTAACATTGACCTTAACTTTTGAACGGTACGGGCTAGGGCTTTCATACTTCGTATATGTAATCCTTGTGAGAAGGCCTTTCATTGGATACCAAGAACTTTTACCCTTTCACCTTGACCTTGATGTTTGGCCTACTTTTAAAAAACTATGACCTTTGCCACAACTTTTGAACAGTAGATACTAGGACTTTCATATTTCACATATGTATTCTTTGTGGCAACACCTTTCATTTGATATCAACAACCTTGACCTTTTGAAGTTGACCTTGGAGAATTTTCGTACTTTTCGAAAAAACTTTAACCTTCACCATAACTTTTGAATGGTAAGGGCTAGGGCTTTCATACTTCACCTATGTAATCCTTGTGAGAAGACTGTTCATCAGATACCAAACACTTTAACCCTTTGACCTTGACCTTGGAGTTCGGTTATGATTTCTAAATAAATTTCTAAATAAATGATATATGATAGGGTGTTCATATAACACACAATATGTCATTAAAAATGACATCTCACAAAGAAGCCGAAAGCGGGGGACCACAATTCCTTGAATTTGCTTGTTTATTGTAAATTATGAAATATAAATACACTGCTGTGTTATGTAATTATTTTGCTGCTATTAAGAAAACAATTATTGTGTCGAGCAAAGGGGACAGATAATTCCTTCCACATATGGTGCAAATCAAATATGGTATTCTGAAAAGGAAGGCATGAAGGCACCAAATGATTGCAATTGAACAGTATGATAAAACAAGATGTTCCTGGAAGGATATCGGTTCTGAACCAAATTGATATAGAATCGGCATTGTATGTCAAATGATCACTGTATCTTTGAAGATAAAGTTACATTTTTGTACATGTTACATGTACTTGTATGAAGAATACTATTTTCCACATAACACATAAATCGTCATATGGATTAATTAAGATATTAAATAAGGGGGGAAACTCACATCAAATAACAATGAATATGTTTTAATAATTCACATCAATGAAATACTTTTTTTATTTTGAAGGTATTAAAACACATACAGGGCACACTTAAAGCATTTCCCTATCATCATGATCAGCAACATATGGAATAAATTTTCTTAGCGGTCGTCTAGTCGGGCGACGTCGAGCACCAGCACCGCCCCTCCTTCTTTGCGGTCTTGCACGTAATAAAGGTCCTCCTGCAAAGCCGTTCAGGGGTTTTCTAAGTTAATTGAGACAACTTGTGGGTCTCCCAATTCTGTATATTGGACAAAAGAACTATGAGTCAGGATTAAAGTTTATAAAAATTTATTATTGCTTGTTGTATTTAATTTGCACAATCTCTTTGAATGTTTCTCCCTATTTCTTACTCCCGTAGAAATATTGTTTCTCTCCCAGAATGGGAATAAAATATTCTCAAATGGGAGATTTATGTTTTAGGGAATAATTAATATAAATTTACAAAAGCATAAAAGTATTTATCTTTTCCCAAAATATTGGGAGTTCTTTGCTATACAATTATATTATAGTCAGGTATAGTTATGGGAGAGTTATTTTACCTCCCACTAATTTTCTCCCTCAGGCTAATTCAATATAAATAGTAAAAAGTAATAATAAAATATGTTACAAAATTCATCAGCTCCCAAAAATTAATTAATGAATTATGTAGAGTAATTACCCAACGACTATCACTCCCAGCCATGCTGGCGATATGATTCTGGCAGTCGTACATCATCTAAAAATTAACCTATTTAAACCTATTCTACACCAATTCTGACTGTCAGTCGATTTGCGCTGGCTTATTTGGGCATCGGGCTCGATTGTCGTGACGTCACGACAAAGTGAAAATACCCGCCATGCTTGTTAGTTGATATGCTGCCATGCCGATCGAACCAACGAAAGGAAACACGCACCCTAGGGCGCGGATAATTATTGTGGGAAACATTCATTATACTTATCGCTGATGGACTTTGTAAGCATAAACAAAACAATCATGAACATTTTAAGTGTGACTTGGGAGTGCATTATATCGAAGTATTTCGGGCGTCACTAATTACCGACCTCGTCCCAATTGTACACTTGGTAAATATACAATTGTTAATGGAATTAACATACAATTAACGGAACATAATTTGTCGTTTTATAGTCCAGTATATTGCAGGGAGTTTTTGTTTAACTTGTACTCTGTATTTCCACAGAAAATGTTACCCATAGTAACGGGAATAATTACGGAACCGTAACACGGCACCCTCCCATGAAGAACATTCGTCCTCGAATGGTTTTATACTTCAGTTAGGGAATATTTAAAGGTATGTACAAGTGTTCTTTCCCTAAATGTTTGGAACAAAAACGACTTACAACGATTAAATGTGAGTCAATAATTCATTTGGTATTAAATCAATAATATGGATATAAACATACATAACACTCAATAGTCAACAAAGATACATTAAGTAATAAATAGTGAAATAAATTAACAACAGAATAATATTAACAACAATTTCTCTATAAATATATATCACAATAAGGTCCAATTATCACAGTCAATTCTATCAATTCAAGTCCTCATTTCACTTACAAATGGTCCCATAACGAGGCTCTTTTCATCATCAATTGATTTCTTTTCTTGATCGCTGCGCAAAGGCCTTCCAAGCGGTAGTAACTCGCTTCTACATGGATTTGCTTCAATATCGCATTGTCACAGGGTAATATGTATTCGACTTGGGAGGGATCACATAGGAAATCCAATATGAAATCGAAAAACCTGGGATTCCTATCGATGAAGAAAATTGGGGTCTGCTCCTTGGTATTTGGCTTTACTGGTGAGTCCTTAGATACAAGGGCTGCTAAGAGAGAATCTGGATCACTTTGTAATGTTATAGTTTCGAACTTTTTGCCTCCCACATTGAGGATGAGTCGCTCTTTTTGTGCAGTCTGGATCCCTTGTAATATAGTCTTCAGCCTGTCCGTCGGATGATACGTTGGTGCATCTTTCACTTCCGGGATTGTGTAAGTATCTGGATCACCCAGCGAAATGGCTTTCTCGGGCTGGGATGATCCAGATGACGAGGAAGATGAAGATGAGGATGACGAGGATGACGACGTGGATGTACTCGAACAGGATGACAATCCCGAGACATGACAAACCTTTGCCGGCAGTTGTTTTTGGGAAAGGGGAGCGGCATCCCCGGACGCAACCGGGGTAGGTTCTACTGAAGTCTTACTGATCTTGTCAGGGATTAGAGGCGTGGCTTTCGGGACCTCTGTCACAGTTGAGATGTTTGTAGCAGCCGGAATGGGACTTGGTCTCTGCGTTTCAGTGAGTCTGATGGGTGAGCTCTTTTCCATGGTAGGTACGGGCTTAAGTTTCTGCGGCTGTTGAGTCACCTTTCTTGCTTTAGTGTTGTTTGGGGCGTCGATCAATAGTGTTCGCTTCATTCCTTTGCCACCGTTATACATGTTTGGTTTCACCTCCTTCATATATGGAGCAACATGTTTTCCCCTTTCTTTCTGGAATTTTTCAAACTCTCTCTTCTCTTCCTCTGTATATGTTCCAGTAGATTTCTTGATGATATGAAGTGTGTGGTTTGGACATGTGTGTTTTATGTCTTTTCTGTTCAGAAGCATCTCGCAGATGTTGCACTTAAAAACGAACCCAGAATGACAGCTCGTCATATGTCTCTCCACATGGACTAGTTGAGTAAACTCTTTGCTATCGCACAAAAGGCATCTGAAGCGTTGAACCTAATAAACAAAATCATGAAAATATTTATCATTATGGGAATTATCTATTTGTATAATTTTACAAATATCCCATTTACACTTTGAAGCAGGGAGTCTATGCATGAGATTTGAACCACGTGGGCTTATTTGATCCCAGATATGGTTTTAATCTATTATGGTGAATAATATCCCCCTTATGCTTTGCATGTTTCCCTATTCTGTAAAGAACATCATTTATTCTTTGTAAAATAATGTAGGGTCCCTTCCATTTAAGGGATAACTTTTTGTGGAGTCCCATATTTTGATTTGGGAAAAAGACCCATACAGCATCTCCTGGGTTATAGAGATTTTGGTGAATTTTTGCATTGTAATCCCGTAACATATTATCAAAAGAAATGCTCAATTTATTTCGGGCAAAATCATGTATTTTGTTTAGCTTTTCTGATAGATTTTGGGCGTATTCAGAACTTAATTTTGATTCATATTTTTCAGGGTCTACTCTGCCGAGTACTAAATCTACTGGGAGTGTGACTGATCGCCCAAATACCATTTCACAAGGGCTTACCCCTGTGGCCTCATGAGAAGATGATCGATATGCCAACATGAGTAAGGGTATCAGGTCATCCCAATCTTTTTGATTTTTACTAACAAATGCTGAAAGCATATTTTCAATTGTTCTATTTGCCCTTTCTATCATCCCATCAGACTGAGGTCTGTAGGGAGTAGTACGAGTTTTGTCTATACCCAGTATTTTACACATTTCTTGAAAAACATCAGATTCAAATGTTTGCCCTTGATCTGAATGAATTTGCATTGGCACTCCAAAAATGGAGACTACATGATTTATTAATTTTTGAGCTACAGTAACTGATTTCTTATTTCTAATAGGGATGGCATCAACCCATTTGGTGAAGTAATCTCCCACAACTAGAAGATAAGAATTTTTCCTGTGAGTCATTGGTAAAGGACCTAATATATCCACCGCCCATCTTTCCATTGGAGCACCAACCAGGTATTTTTGTAACTGGGCATTTGGGAATTTATTAGGAGATTTTCTAGCTGCACATTTATCACAGCTTTTACAAAATTGTTTTATATCTTGGGACATCTTGTGCCAGAAATATTTGTCTCGGGCCTTTGACAGAGTTTTATTGAACCCCAAGTGACCGCCCGTTATATTACAATGTATGTCTTTCAAAACTTTCCCACTGATAGATTTTGGGAGAACAGTTTGAAATTTTGGTTGCACACTTTCCCATTTATGATATAATATATCATCCATATAATGGAGAGAATCAAATCTTGCCCAGTAATATTTGCATGTTTCACTCAGATGGGAAATGTCTTCCCAAAGAGGTTTTTGTTTAGCTTTGACCCATTTTATTACTTCCCTTAGATCTGAGTCTTTACTTTGTAAAGCCTTAATACCATTTTCTGGTTTGTCATTTTCTAGAAGTATTTTAGTTTCTTCTTGTCTTGTAGGGTTTATCCCAGTGTTTGGAGAGTTTCCCTGAGACCTTGTAGTAACAGCACAGTTTTCAGGTACAAAACTATTTATGTTGGGACTAGCAGTTAGATCACTTTGTTTAATTTCAGAAATCATTTCCCTCTTTACTTGGCTTTGGTTTTCATTGGGAGGTTCATTTTGTAAGTGTTGGTCTAATGAAAATTTGTCTTCTGCTTTACTACAATGCTTACAATCTAAATCTCCCATGAGACAAGGTCTGCGGGACAAAGCGTCCGCATTATTATGAGTGCGACCTGCCCGGTATTCAATTTTGAAATCATATGAAGACAAAAATTCAAACCAACGTGCTATTTGACCCTCTGGATTTTTGAAATTTAACAACCAAGTTAGGGACCCATGATCTGTTCTAACTTTGAATGTCTTCCCATATAAATAGTGGTGAAAGTGCTTTATTGAGTTTACTATAGCTAGTAACTCCCTTCTAGTCACACAATAACGACGTTCAGCAGCACTGAATGTCTTGCTATAATAACTTATGACTTTTTCTACTCCCCCGTGTTCTTGGGAAAGTATTGCTCCCAAACCTATGTTAGAGGCATCAGTATCTAAAATGAATAAGCCTTCTTCATTAGGATAGGAAAGAATGGGAGAACTAGTTAATGCTCGCCTTAGCTTGTCAAATGCTACATTGCAATCATTATCCCATATAAACTTCCTATTTGCTTCTGTAAGTTTATGTAATGGTCTTGCCATATCTGAGAATTTGTATATAAATTTCCTATAGTATGAACAAAGACCTAAGAAGCTTCGAACTTCCTTAACATTTCTAGGAATGGGCCAATTGTTGACTGAGTCAATCTTTGAGGGATCAGTGGCTATCCCATGTTCGCTCACAATATGTCCCAGAAAGGGAACTTCTTTTTGCAACAACAAACATTTCTTTGGGTTCATTTTCAAATTAGCCTCCCTCAGTCGCCCAAAAACTTGTCTTAAATTTTCAATATGTTCTTCAAAAGTTTTAGACAATATTATTATGTCATCTAAATAGACAAGACATATTTTCCAAGAAAGATTTGATAACACCCTTTCCATTAGTCTTTCAAAAGTTGCTCCCGCATTACATAAACCAAATGGCATGTTTAAAAATTGCCAGTGACCTCCCCCCGGGATTGAAAAAGCTGTCTTGGGTTTATCTTCAGGTGACATTTTCACCTGCCAATACCCACTCTTAAGATCTATCGTAGAAAACCATTTTGAACCTGACAGGGCATCTAATGTTGTATCAATTCTAGGTATGGGATAACTATCCTTAATAGTGACATCATTTAACTTTCTATAGTCTATACAGAACCGGATTGTCCCATCCTTTTTCTTAACTAGGACTATGGGAGAACTCCATGGACTGTCTGATGTCTCTATCACCCCCCTATCTAACATATCATTGATTTCCTTCTTGGCCTCAGCCATTTTAGCTAAAGGAATACGTCTAGGAGGTTGTTTAATCGGGACTGCATTTCCCGTATTTATCTTATGCTCTACTAAATCTGTTGAACCCATGTCAACTGATGAAAGGGAGAAACTCTTTTGAAATTCCCTTAAAAGTTTTTCTAATCTCTGTTTTTCTTCAGAGCTAACACTAGTGTGGACCCTATCTAAAATTTGTTGTAAGTGATTGGGCATCTGGGTGTCATTCCCAGTATAATGAGCCCTTATGTTTTTCACTACTTCCCCATTCTCAATATCTTCAACCCTTTCTATCGAGGCTACTACACTACCCTTGTGTAACTTTAAACTCTCGTCACCTAAATTCATATAACGTACTGGGACATTTTCCCCATCTACTTCTACCAAAGTTTTTGAAATCAATAATTCATGTTTTCCCATAAACTTTTCTGAGGGTTCCACTATGGCTGTACCCTGTTGAAAATTGGGACTTTCTATCCTAGCAGGGGCAATAAATTCACAGTTTGGGGGAATCACTAAATCTTCTTGCAAAAGAACTCTACAACAATCAACTACACTATTTTCATCACTAAAACAAGGGATTTCTTCTCCCTGAATAACAAATTTCATTTTCTTCAAACAAATCTCACATGAAAACTTTTTCATAAAATCTACACCCAAAATACATTTGTTCTGAATGTTTGCAACAATAACTGAATGGGAAATTTCAATATTCCTAAGACTAAATTTAAGGAGACTCTCTCCCACAACTGGGATGTCTTCTCCGTTTGCTGATCTTAACTTCACACTACAAGATTTTACACTTGACTTTTCTACCAATTGTATTCTTTCGAATAATTTGGGGCTTATAATAGTCACACTAGATCCGGTATCTACTAATATTGTTGTTTTAACATTTTCTATCTTCCCTGATATAAAAATTCCCTCATCTCTTTGTTTGACATCTCCTACTAAAATACTTTTGGGACTTTGTTCATTTTGAGGTTTACATTCTAACTCCCTATTTTGACTTTTCATTGACTTATTTGATACCGGATCAACCCCTGTACAATTGTTTAATGGTTTATTCTGGGGCTTGTTCCCAACTCGCGCCGATTTCCGCCCCATGAATTCGACGTTTGATGGTTTCCCTGTCTTTGAAAACCTGAGTCATTTCTATGAGGGGATGGCCTCTGGGAGTATTGATTCCCCTGATTAGATCTATTTCCAAAACCATTTCTTGACCCATATCTGTCATGTTCCCAATTGTTATTAAACTGCCTGGGACTATTGTTTGAAAATCTGTTTTCACGGGATCTCCCATAATTTTGGGACTTTTGACCAGAATTGTTCAAACTTGACAAAGAGTCTTTTATGTCTTTTAACATAGAAACAACTAAATCTTCATTTTTATTGTTGGGATGGTTTTGAGAGTCAGTGTTTGAATTGACAACATGGACTGGCTTTCCCCTTTGGGCATCTGCCATTTTATGTGTCTCTAACCTAATTGCTAAAATTTCAGCTTCCCCAATATCTTTAGGTCTTGCCTCCCGAATTCTTAGGCGCATATCTGGGTCTGGGAGAGCGTCAATGAAATGATCTAGGGCTAAAATGTTTGTAAGGTTAGGATCAGCAGTGGGGTAGGATTGTCTGATTAATTTCTTGATTGACTGGGCTAATTCTGATAGGGACTCTTTTTCTCCCTTTATTCTATTTTTCAATCTTGCCCGATACATCTCTGACCTTTCTACTGATCCAAAACGCATACTGAGAACTTTAACAAGGGAATCAAAATCCCTAATCTGAGCTTCATTGAGTTCCCCTAAAATTGCCCTTGCATTCCCAGTTAAACAACTAGCAAGATACAAAGATTTTGTCCTATAATCCCAACCATGTAATTCTACTAAAACTTGAAATTGAGCTAAGTAATCTTCAAAATCTTCCACCCCATCATATGTTTGTGGCTTTATTGAGACTGTTGGTTTTACTTGATTGGGAGAATGTACGCTATTGTCATTTCTGTTCACCCTTGGGGATATAGGGTTCCCGAAAGATTCAAATCTCTCCCCAGCCCCTAGAAATGGTGATTGACTGGGATTTTCAGAACAGTTCCCATATTTATGTGTACCAATAGCTTCCCCATGATTTTCAAGTGATGACAACCTCCCATGTAATTGATGGGACTCATGTCTCATTTGTGATAATTGTTCTTCAAAATTTTGATTCATGCATAGAACATCCCTTTTCAAACCTTCAACTGCTCTTAACAAAAGTTCGTTTATATTTTCAGAACCACTGGGAGCTGATGTTTGACTTGACAAAGATTCACCTTGACAGATTTCCTCATGGGATAAATTTTCTACTTCTACCGGGACTCTTGGATTGAAAACAATCTCTCCCGAATCTTCTAAATGACTATTATCCCTTGACATTTTTGCTTTTGGGAGTACTTATTTATTCTATGATATAAAGAATTTATATGTTCAATTATTTGTCTTATGTCCAATCAGATAATGGGAATGAAAATTTATGAATCCCACTTCTGACACCAATGTTGCCGTTCAGGGGTTTTCTCCCTTGAGACAACTTGTGGGTCTCCCAATTCTGTATATTGGACAAAGAACTATGAGTCAGGATTAAAGTTTATAAAAATTTATTAATGCTTGTTGTATTTAATTTGCAGGATCTCTTTGAATAATTATCCCTATTTCTTACTCCCGTAGAAATATTATTTCTCTCCCAGAATGGGAATAAAATATTCTTAAATGGGAGAAATAAGTTTTAGGGAATTACATATAAATTTATAAAAGCATAAAAGTATTTATCTTTTCCCAAAATATTGGGAGTTCTTTGCTATACAATTATATTATAGTCAGGTATAGTTATGGGAGAGTTATTTTACCTCCCACTAATTTTCTCCCACAGGCTAATTCAATATAAATAGTAAAAAGTAATAATAAAATATGTTACAAAATTCATCAGCTCCCAAAAATTAATTAATGAATTATGTAATGACAATTACCCAACGACTATCACTCCCAGCCATGCTGGCGATATGATTCTGGCAGTCGTACTATCTAACCTATTCTCTACCTAGTTTAAACCTATTCTACACCAATTCTGACTGTCAGTCGATTTGCGCTGGCTTATATTGGCATCGGGCTCGATTGTCGTGACGTCACGACAAAGTGAAAATACCCGCCATGCTTGTTAGTTGATATGCTGCCATGCCGATCGAACCAACGAAAGGAAACACGCACCCTAGGGCGCGGATAATTATTGTGGGAAACATTCATTATACTTATCGCTGATGGACTTTGTAAGCATAAACAAAACAATCATGAACATTTTAAGTGTGACTTGGGAGTGCATTATATCGAGGAATTTCGGGCGTCACTAATTACCGACCTCGTCCCAATTGTACACTTGGTAAATATACAATTGTTAATGGAATTAACATACAATTAACGGAACATAATTTAAACATGATTCGTTTTATAGTCCAGTATATTGCAGGGAGTTTTTGTTTAACTTGTACTCTGTATTTCCACAGAAAATGTTACAGAAATTATTATTTTGATTGATTTAACAACATAGTAACGGGAATAATTACGGAACCGTACGTCACAAAGCTGTATGAATGTAATAACTCAAATCAAAATTATATTTTCTTTAAATTCATTATCTTAAAGTTTTCAAAGTCGATGTTTTCAAGGGAACTGTATTAATAAATGACACGATGTTGCAGCTCTGTTGTTCTAATATAGGTATTTTCAGTTTAAAATATTCGAGCTTCCTTTGTGCTATTTAGTTGAAATTTTCAAAATGAGATCTTAGGGATGATAATTTTTCTAAGTAATTTGCAGATTTTCCATACTCGTCGTTGAGTTGTCGAAACCTAGCGCAGAAAAATAATAATATAAAAATCATGCAAAAATAGGATAACAAAGTATTGTTTATCTTTTAAAATAATGAATTGTTTCTATTGAAAAGAAAATTCCTTTACATTTACGGGTTTGAAACGTTGAAATTTTGCGGTAGGGCGTATCTTTCATAATGCTAGTTTTCAGAAAGTAATCTTGAAAAAATGCCAGCTTTTTAACATGGAAGGCAATCGAACAGATGAGAAATACTGAACATTAAACATGTATCATATTGCGCTTTAGATCCATGTCAATGTACAGAAAATACAGAAGTTGCATGATCTGCACTGTTTCTGAGTTTAGCTAAGGCAAAGGACTGCTGTAAAAAGAATGAATATAAAGACGGCTGCATTTGACGAGAGCCAAGAAAAACCATTTGGGAACAGTCATAATCTATCAACCAAGAATATATCAAAATCCTACCAATAATTTTGTGTGAATTATGTTTTAACAGTGGAATGAATTTAAAACTTAATTAAAAATCACTTTTAAAATATTTTTTTGCCTCTTTAGCGAATTTTGCATGATAAGAATGTAACGTTAATGTGGGTAAAAATCGAGTTTAAAAAGTATGTTTGTTAAACGATATTTTTTGTTTATTTTCCGTTAATTCCTGATAACACGGGAGCACTCGGCGGATGTGACCGGTTGGCACAGGATGCTGACTTCTACATGGCACCCGATCCCATTGCCACCTCTGATGTTTTAGAGGTCTGTGTTTGTTCCAATATTGTTATGTTTAATGGACTTTTGAGCTCGAATACTATTATCTCCACACATTTAATGATGTCTTGAAAGTCCTGAATGTTAATGTCTCCCACTTAATGGATTTAAAAATGAATATAATTGATTACTTCAAAGATGAAATAAGTGCAATGTATCCTATAAATTAAAAAAAATGTAATATTTGATTAAAAATCATACAATAAGAGAGTTATTAATACAAGCAGAAAATTCAATCAACTGAAGAAAGAGATGCATCCGCATCTGTAACGGGTAGCTCTGTGCAAAGACTCAGCACCAGAAAAGGATAACAAATACACCAGTCTTTGGTAGCATATCAGCTGTTAATCTCTCAGTGGATTGTCACGGATACTATCTTGAATTGTCTAGTGAAAGGGAATGAGTCGGGAACATGCATTGTATCCATCACGTGACGTGTCACACTTAGAATAATAGATATGCATCGCAAGTTTATCCCGATATGTAATGAAAAACTGAAAATCAAATGAAATTCAGATATGAAGAATAGAATTATACAAACAATTAATATATAATTAACACATAATTATAATTATACGCATTGAAACTTAAAGGATGTTGAAAATGCGCAATGCAGGAATATTTAGTTTTTTTCTCTCTGTATTTAAATCCAATGATGCATATTCGATGCATATTTTCTTTGAAATTACTCATCAATAACAAGAAAAGTTTCAAATTTCTCTAAAAAAAATTTTCAATGACAGCGGACATATTCTGCAGTTGTATAATAAGTTCATAAGCTCTCCAATTAATCTAAGCTTTTCATAGACGAAATTCAGAATAATTAATCCCATTTACAAGATCCACCCTCAATCGTAATCATACTATACATAGAACATTAAAAACCTGCAATTTTTGTAGTAAAAGACGCTAATGGTTACTTTACAAGAACATCTCTTTACATATTTCCCCTAATTTATATAGAAATTTAGCAATATCGCCTATATATGGAGTTTATTTTTTCTCTATGATTCCTTGCGCAAGAGCATGTTCTTAGCACGAACGATTATTCATTTAAATCAAATAAAGTTATTGACAAAAAGTTGATGAAACAAAGATATCAGCATTCTCGTTCAGCGTCTTAAAGTTCTATGGTAGTTAATTAAATGGCCTTGTCAGCAAACACATTTGATTGTAAAGTCAAATTCTGACTTATGTTTTTTCATGCTAATTGTTAGGCAATCATTTACTTACTTTATTGTAAACAGATTGTTTGCCAAAACATAACGAAGAGAACGTGTCAAGTGTGAGAAGCCGACAAGGGATGCTTACTCATCCATTGCACGCAATCCCTACTCTGATAATTTAGATGACCACGTTTGCTCTTTTTCTGATTTGTTAAGTTTAATTAGACTTTAGTGTGTGATCAATGGCCGTTATAGTCATATCATAAACAGAACTCCCTTTCATTACGAAAGGAAAAGCCAAGGTAGATAAACTTGTATTTTAAGTATCATGATAAATGACTTAAAATGGACAAAACCATGAAAAATATGGAATGGTCAAAAGTACGATAAGAACTGTGCAATCTATATTGAGAATGATGTATATTATTTAATATACAAATTCAGTATCATGTACTTTTACCTATGCGATATATTTGCTTTTTATCAAATAAAAAATTGATTTTTACAAAGATTTAGGTAAAAACTGCACTGAAAAACTATCTGAAAATCTGACTAGATTAGTATTCTTACTTTAATTTTGCGCTAATTTAAATGACATTATCTAATTTCTTCTTTGATCTATTTTCTGACATAAACGAAAGATAAGACCAGAAATACAAATCTTTGTAAATAATGAAACCTGCCTTTAAATTAGTATATAATGAATCTGCATAAAAGTATGGACCTGAAGAATTTCTTAAACGAGCCTTAGTTTTACAAAATACAAGAACACAACACAACCTCTTTGAGTGCAACACAACGCATTTTGCAATGCTTTTTGTGGAAAGGTTGTGGTAGCTGTTGGAAATCTCACTTTAAGCCATAGAATGCAAAGAATAGATTAGGTAATAACTCTCTTCTAATTTGGCATTTGCGACCGTTAATGCCGATTTAACGGTCGCAAACTGAGTTTTATCGGCGACGCGTAAGCGGAGCCGGTAAAACGGATGTTTGCCACCGTTAAATCAGCATTATCGGTCGCAAATGCCAAAATAGAAGATAGTTATTCCCATTTTAATGCAATCTATGCATTCTGTTTATTGTTTACGTCTTATTTTGTTGAATTTTGTGACATGAAATACGTCACAGAGCATTGTCTTTTTGTGTCGCTCTCTTATGACGTCACAATGAAAAGCTTTCACTCTCGTTAATGCTTTTACTGCTTCAAGCATCAGTGCATTAGCCAATCAAAAAGTGTTTTACAAAACAATTGCATTAGAATATCAAATGTTGGGCTGCAAATAAAAAATCAACAAGACAAGTATAAAAAAGAATATATCTTTTAAAATTTATATGACAGATTGTTGTACTCATGTCTCCAAATAAGTATTTCGCAACATTAATACTTCCCCTTTTTCAATTAAAACGCAAAATCGCATACACATGTAAGAAATAAACAGAAAATAAAGGCTTAATTTTAGTTACTTTAAGGTCAAGTACTAGTAAATGGAAGGTTCTTACAGATTTTTCAAATTCAAGAAATTAATTCCTTTAAAGATGCTTTATAACATTAAATTGGTCAAAATAGTTGTTTCGGGGCATAATTTGTAGAAAAACAAGATGAAAAACCATATTTTAAACTATCATTTTCGATAAAAAAATTTTTTTTTAAAAAAAACGGTATTAAAAATGGGAGTTTTTTTCCATATCAGACAAAGAAAATGTATCCAGTTTGCCTACAGTTTTTCACAAGACGGTTATTTGTATTTTCTTAGTCTCTTCTTTAAAATAATGTTAAATTTAAGATAGGTATCGGTACTACTTTCCATGTGATTTCAAATTGGATTCCATGAAAATACTTTATTTTCTACATAATTCTATTAGAGCCGTAAAGTACGGGAAAAGAAAGTTGAAAGTGATTATGACGTCATAATGGATTTAGCACTGAAAATTTATTCTTAAGTCATTTACTAGATCATGACCTTCACAAACATTACATCCACTATATTCTAAAGTAAAACATTTCTATAAATGTCATCCAGTCACTTTTGGAACGGTAAAAATCTAGTCTTAAACTCATATGAGAATTTAAGATTAATAAATTTTTAGAGTGGTTAGTGTCTGTATGCTGAAAAACCCAAAAGATGTCTAATAGTAATTTTTTTTCCCTAAAAGACCAGTCCTCAGTCCTGCATTTCTCTAGGGAATTGGTCGACGCGGTCTAAAGCGGGGCCTCGCTCCCACAAAAAGAAATCCACCTCTTCTTGAACCATCAATTTTGGGTTTTTCATTACTAGCTTGGGCGACTGTAATGTAAATTGAAAATGTATAATCTTTTTTCATGCATAAACTATTCGAATAATTATTGATAAAGTTTTAAAGTATATGTCTTCTAATAAAGATTTTTTTATTTAAAATATTTATTTATAAAATATAGACTAAGTAAGTATACTGTAAATCACTTGTTATTTCCGAAAGCGTGTTTTTGCGTAAGTAAGGGTGACAGGGTGCTCGCCAAATTTTCATTCTCGTGTATATTAGTACCAAGTATTTCTTATGATTATACAGAGCAATAACCAGCATTTGTGAAAATTTGTCTCACTTATGAAGAGTCAATGAAATTCTCGCATAGGTAAGTTTTGCGAAATTAGTGATTTAGAGTATACAAATGTATTTATCAATGAAACTAACCTTGCGTCTGATCTGGTTCAGTGAAAACTATTCCAGAGTTTAAAGCCAGTATTAAGAACACAACTAATATAGTTTTGGGTCCCATCTCTCTCTACTGTGAATTATTTACTATTTGTCTGTTAACGGACAATGTGACTCCCCTTTATTATGTGCGTGTGTGATGTGACATATCTAGGAAGAGCAAATAGTTACAATGTAAGCTTTGATCCATAGTCATGTGCTTGGTACAATTAATTTTTTTTATAGCCAACCAACAAAGTCTTTCTCCTGAGGCGTAATACATATATGATATGAATCATTTTATTTATTGAAACATGAGAAGGATTATTGTACAAATTTATTTTGAATTGAAATTTTCTTCCTGATCCTGAATTTCATCCTGATCGTGGGGTATCCCCATTATTTTTTTTTTAATCAATCACGTATAACCTGACAACAGAATTTGCTCATCATATGTGAAAAAAATGTAAAAATTTCTCTCTAATCAATCATTTTTTTTCTCAGATATACTAGTAATTAGAATCGTAAACTAAAACAGAATCAGTAATGTATGATTTATTTTTATTGAACATTTAACTAATGTCACTACTTTTAGAAAACGCAAAACATGACTAATATACTGAATATGTAAATCAGAGATAAAAACAAATTCTCAGATCCATGCTACACTATTCCTTTCATAAGATCTGTCAAATAATGGTCATGTTTTGTTTGAAAATATTTTTCGATAAATTTATGCAGAAAATATTCAGATGAAATTCTGTCAAATTACTTTCGGGGGGTGTTCTTCTGGTAGTCAGAATGAACCTAAAAATTAATTTTCTCTCCGAAATGTAAATTTTCAAACGTTAAATATCAAACCATTTCTAAAGCCACGAAATTAAAATTAAACCTTCAATTATTCTTTTCTCAAACAAAGCCAAAGACTTCCAACCATCACTCAAAAATAAGTGATTTTACATCATACATTGATCAAAACAAGTTTAACACTGACATTAACTGTAGTTCTCAACACCAAAGTTTCATTACCCTTTTTTTATCAAACAGTCGAACAAACGAAGTTTTGTTTCACTAAATATTGATTTCTTTTTCCCAAATAATCTCGATGTAGAGAGTCTCCAAAGATAATTAATTAGTTTCGTCAAATCCTATAACCCTTCATAGATCAGAACCCACCTCTAGTTTCATTTTCAAAAAAATATTATTTCCCTCAAAATGGAATATGCAAAGGCATTTTTGGGAAGGGGCCGTTTCGCTGGGATATCTGTCAGTTAAATACACTTCATTTTAAATTTTAGCTGCTTTAAAATTATTGGTAAGTCTATACTGGCACTGATAATTTCCTTGCACACATGCAAAACATTGTACATATCAAACTTTTTATTGAAGAAAGGGATCCATAGATTATATCATAATTATACAGTACCCCCGTTTGAAAAGTCGGAGGGTATATAGTGATCCCGTCCGTCTGTACGCTTTGGGTTACCCATCTCTTATCCGCAACTTTTCTTATACCCCTGAATGAATTTTTATGAAACTTTGTTATATAGTGCTAATGTGCTCCTCGGTTTTAACTGTTACATCTGACACATATTTTGGGTTTCCCATGGCAAGTCATTTGCATTGGCATTCTTTCTATTATATTGAAGGATACCCTCACTTCTCCGCAACTCTTCATATACTACTGAATAAAATTCTATGATATTTTTCGAAGATTCTATATTACATAATGTCATTGTACACCTCTCATTTTACTTTTTGATCTGACACTTTTTTAGAGCAAAACATGGACTCTGACATTATGACCATGAGGGTGGCGGGGGCATTATTTAGTGTACTCAGGCTAAAAGTACCTCTAGTTTATAATTGACTTGAAAAGACTTAACTCCTGAATTTTTCAATTGTAAATTCCACCGTATGTCTGAGGTTCCATGATTTTACCAAAGAAGTTTTTGTGTAGGAAAAAACGATTTACTCCCATATCTAACACTTAATGGCTTTAAAACGGCCACATGAAAATTTGCAGTTTAAAAAATTGCTTTTGAAAAATAAGAGAAAAAAAACTCACATTAAATGAAACTAAATGTATTTCTAAAAAAATAAACAAAAACAATATAATGAAATGTGGACACACTCTAAAAATCATACAAATACGATTACAACATTTCTCTATCACATGGCCTGCATGGTCTTCCAAAAGTTCGTCTAAGCATTGTCGGGCGCCTTCGTGTACCAGAACCACTTCGCGTCCTTTGCGGTCTTGCACGTCTTAAAGCCCCTCTTGCAAAATTTATGCCATTTGCCCTGCCAATCTTCAGTCTCGATCCTTCCAAATCAGCAAGGCTTCTTCTAGGTTCTACTTCAGAGTATCTTCTATCTGTTCTGTCAATGCCAGGTTCTCGAAGGTCGGCACGATCATCTGTAATTATTATATTGATATTTGAGGAATTTTTTTTAACAAATCGTATCCAAAATATTTATTTTTTGACACATAATTTTTTTTTCAAATTCTTATAAGATCAATAGCCTAGAAAAAAAATCCAGGCAGTTTGAGATTTTTTTTTTCATTATAAATGTAATACTTACTAGTCAGTCTGTCCTCTAGAATTGCTTTGCTGTGAACCGAAGGGAGAATCACAACGAAAACAAACAACAGAGCGAAAGTTGTCTTCATTTTCATCTTATTTTTAATTGGATATCAATGCTGATCTACGTTGCACTACGTTTTTTTATCATCTTTAACATGACCAGTGACACAACCTTAATGTAAAAGGAAGATAAACATGCACGTATATTGTAATCCATAGCATTGATTGGTGGATGGTTTATTCAGATATATCACCAACTGCATTTTCACGAATTTAATCGCGCCAATCCTTTAAAAATATCATCTGTTAAACATATATTAATGGGATAAACTGCTCATCAGCAGTGTACTTGAACAGGATGTCAAAATACTTTAAAATTCAGTCTTATCAATTAAAGGAGTAAGAACTATAACTTTTAAATCATAAGACTTAAATACATGTACAGTAAGTTCTAAGTAAATAAAATATTAAAATATAAACTTTAAAATATTTTGATTCTCTCTTAATATCATTTCTTTTTTATAATTGATTTAAGTATTAATTCAAGAAATTATATCACAAATGTTTTTCAACGTTTAGTTATAATATACTAGCGGGAAATAACTATGCATTACTTAATACATGTACATGAATAGATGATAAAAATTATAATGAACAAATTTTTATTTTATTTCTTGTAATACTATTAACTAATGTATTTACAACATTTCATAATTCATTCACTTTAACGTCAAACAACGTGAATTTAAGAATTCTCGAAAGACCCTGGTATTAAAACTTGAATTAACAAAGTTAATAACGTGTGTGACCACCATTTTTATTTACACATTCTTGATAACGGCGCCTCATTGATGACACTAAAGTGTTCAGATATGCTTGGGGGATGTTGTTCCAGATGTTGGTTAAGACCTGGCCTAAATCAGCCAACGCCCCTGGCTGAATTGGCAAACGACGTAGACGTCGTTCAATTTCTCCCCAAACGTGCTCGATCGGCAACAAATCGGGGGAAACAGCTTGCCAAGGCAAGACATCGACATGCTGGTGATTGAAAAAGTCCCAAACTACACGTGCAACCTATGTTCTTGTCTTGTCTTGTTGTAGAGTGATGCGATTTTGCTGTCCCTTTATGAAGGGTATCACATGGTGCTGAATAATTTCGTCTCTATAGCGCACGCCGGTGAGATTTCCATTAACAATTTGTAGAGGGGTCCTTCCACGTGCTGTGATTCCACCCCACATCACAACGCTTCCCCCACCGAATTGTCGCCGTTGCACAACACAAGCGTCCTGGTACCTGACGATGATACACTCTACAACGGCCGTCACTGCTATCCAAATGAAATCTGGACTCTTCCATGAACAGAACATTTGCCCAGTCCTGTAGTCTGAATAACAGCTGTTGTCTGCACCACTCTAATCTAGCGATGCAATGATGTTGAAGCAGTATTGGGTGCAAAGCTGGACGTCTTGGTCTGATGTTGTGCTCGCGCAGACGATTACGCACAGTTCTTTGACTGATTGGTCGAAGTCCAGGAATGCTTCTAGCAGTCAAACTTGCTGTCGGGAACCGATTTCTCGGGTGCACAAGTCTAATTTGGCTATCCTGTCGACACAACTTCACGCGAGAACGCTCAGAGAGTGGTCGATCCCGAGTGTTATCAGATTGTTGAAATCGTGTCCATAATGATTGGATGGTTTTCCAATGAACTCCAAAGTGTCCTGCAACGATATTTTGTGCCATTCAGGAAAAAGGAAGTGAGACAGACAGAAGTTCAGACAGAAAATGATTTTTCAGAAATATTTAACAAAAAAAATATTAATTGAACAAAGAGTATATAAGACTATGATTATGGTGGGTTTTTTTTTTAATCAGCAAACGACTACAATTAATATTCCATTTGATGTTCTATGCATCACACGTGTGTATCATCAACAATGCCTCGCCCCTTACTTATTCTTTCAAACATTCATGTACATTAAGAAGTTATATAAAATCCTTTTGCTAAAATCCTTTTGCTTGAAAGACAGACTGGCCAATGTCCATCTATACAGTTTTCATATATAACCATTTTTAAAAATCTCCCTCGTTTTCCATTTTAAAAGACGAATTGGAACACAACACAATGAACAGCACTTACATGTTCTCTCAAAAGACAAATAAATAGCTAAGCATACATTCGGACCTCAAAAACATCAGAGATAGGACCAGGTGCCACGGAATGGGAAAAATCCTCCGCCGACAGGCAACACCCATCGCGTACCTCGTGTCATGATCGGGAAATAAGGAATAAAAAGTAGACATTTCAGAAAATAAATAATGGTCTAATAATTTGGATGTACTTTCTGACTAAGTAATTATATCGATTTAAGAATTTGCGAAATTTTAACTTTATTTGAGACTGTTGTTATCCGTGTTTGATCAAATTACTTTTCAGTAATTATCTTGTTCATAGAAATATAATTGGTTTACAAAGCCTTACAACTTCAATAGAAAATGATTTATGTGTTTATTTGAAATTTCTTAAACTTTTATATGCCGATGATACTGTAATTTTAGCAGAAACTCCTGATGATCTACAAAATGCTTATAAATGAATTTGAAAGCTACTGTTCAGAGTGGAAATTACAAGTAAATATTGAGAAGACAAAAATATTAATTTTTTTCAAAAGGCCCTTTAAACAAAAGAGTATTATACATGTACTATAATAACAAGAGTCTAGAAACTGTCAAAGAATTTAAATATCTTGGTATCATTTTTTCAAGATCTGGATCCTTTTTAAAAGCCAAGAAACATCTTTGTGACCAAGCCCAAACAGCAATGTATGGTGTTATTAGAAAAATAAGACAATTTAATCTCCCTGTAAAATGTCAACTTGATTTGTTCGATAAAATGGTTTTACCAGTGTTACTTTATGGTTGTGAAATCTGGGGTTTTGAAAACCTAAATATTATTGAACGTGTTCATTTAAAATTTTTGAACCATATTCTGTATTTGAAAAGCAGTAACCCGCATTATATGGTCTATGGTGAAACAGGACGTTTCCCATTATCTGTCATTATATATTCAAGAATAGTCTCATACTGGTGTAAATTATTGAATAGCACAGGTAAGAAAATTTCATGTATATTATATCAATATTTAATTGCTAACTCACAATCTGAAATTGGTAAGAATCCTTGGATTGACTGTGTTCATCGTATTTTTGAATCATGTGGACTATCTAATATTTGGAATGAATAGTTTTATTATAATCCTAATCAAGACTGGGTTACTACTGTTGTCAAACAAAGATTACAAGATCAATTTATACAAAAATGGCATTCTGATATTAAAAGTTCTTCTAAAGGTATTTTGTATAAAATTTTTAAAACAAATTTTGAGTGTGAAAATTATTTAAGTATTTTGCCATTAAAATTTAGAAAAATACTTATCAAATTCCGTACTACTAATCACCCTCTACCAATCGAGCTGGGAAGATGGGAATGTATATCATTAAGTGAAAGATTATGTACACTTTGTAATGCTAAGCATGTTGCTGATGAATTCCATTTTATACTTGTATGCACTGCACTTTCAAACATCAGAAAAATATATATTAATGAATACTACTTCACCAGACCAAATATATGGCTTAGTCTGTCCTTCATAATTTCTTCCCCTCATTTATTTCATTATTACATTATCATATGTGTTTTTTTTTCTATTTTTTTCATTTTCTTTTTCTTCCATTTCATTTTCTGATTATGTACATCATAAACTTATGCCTTTGACCTGAAAATATATATGCTGTAAATATTTTTCATTGTCCTCATGTACCATATATTTTAAATGGTGTTGAGTGAATAAATGAACTTGAACTTGAAGTAGCTTGCATTGTTTCAGACATTGTTCTTAAGTAGATAATGATTTTGCGCATCATATTTGAATCAACAGGATACATGTACCATATGCATGTGATAACTGTATATTGCCACATAGATAATTTTAGTTGAGGATAGATAAATTGAAGCCATCGCGTTTATGATTTACATTGGTTTTGGGTACTTAAAACGTATAATTTAAGTAAAATATCTTACATTGAAACAGACGCGCAATGCTTTAGTTTCTTTTATCTGAAGTTTATAGGGATAAATCGAATCAAAATAAAAATAAATTTGGATTATAGAGATCTCTCGATATATATCTTTAACTGAAAGCCAGTGCATGAAACTTTTTCTTTTCATGTAGAAGTTTTTTTAGATAGAATTTTTAGGGGAATATGAAGTCTGTTAAAACAGGGACAATTGGTAACCATGGAAATCCCGAAAGATTATTGGAAGATTAAGACTATACCTTAAAAAATTACAACGATATATAACAGAAATTCAAGCATCTATTAAGCATCTATTAACTTTTATCATAATGGAGTACCTTTGTGAACATGCAATTAGAAAATATTTAAACAAGAAAATTTTGCAAATAACCAAGGACAAGATAAGTAAATTTACTACTCGTATATGCTCTCTCTCTCTCTCTCTCTCTCTCTCTCTCTCTCCAAGAAAATAACAGTCATATTAGAGTATTTTTTGCAAAAATCAATCCATTCAAATGATAGTTTTAAGGTGAAGTCGATTTAAAAGTTCGAAAATTTCTTTTCAAACATTTCGATCCCTTAAAAGAGCCTGCGGTGGCCTTCGATTTCGGCGCCGAGGTCCATTTACAAAAAGAAATCCACCAATCCTTCCTCCTTGAATATCAATTCTGTCATTAAGTCTTCCTGCATCTGTAAATAATCACACAAATCATACAAAATTATGTAGAGTTTTGAGTCTGAGTAAAGGAATCTCCGAATTGATCAAATGCCCCACATCATTAGGATTTATTCATTTTATCTTTAGTAGGATATGAAGATGGTTAAGATCGTTTATCTTATAAACTTTTTTTCTTTTATATATAAAAGTTGTTATCGTTAGAACAACGTTCAAATGTGACTCGGTAAGGTAAAATGGTTATCACGTGAAATTAAGCCATGATCTCATCACTGAAATTTATTTTAGACAATTTAGAATGCCATCAGTACAAATATATGATGATAGTTGTTCATTTTTCTTTCTTTCTTCGTATCAATATGAATTTATGCTCTTTAGAATTAAAATTATGAATTAAAAAATATTAAGATCAAATGTGATATTATACGTAGCATGAAAATACCTCATGCACTTACCTTCTTGTCTTTCACTTTGAATTGGAATACTAAGACCCCAAGAGGCAGCCAGCATTAGCATTATTAATAGAAAAATCTTTCTATTTATTTCCATCTCTCCTTTCCTTTTTAAAATAATATTCTGTTGATAGAGCTTTTTTATATTTTTTAAAAATAATGTTACAGCTTATAAGGCGATCCAGAAAGAATGAGAAGCGGTAAAATTTTGCAATGGTAATATACAACTCTAACGAGTAAATTCATGACTGCATCATGACTCATCTCATAATCCATCAAAGTTTTACATTGGAATATATAGGGAAAATGTAAAACACTTACTTCCCTGTTGTTTTTCCATGAGTTTTGTTAATTTACATTCACGTACTGTATCTTTTTTTAAATCCTACTTTTAATGTTTATCTGACTTTAAATATGTTATTTATATGTTAAATATGTATGATATGATTTTGTTAAGTTTTTATTGATATAATTTTGTTAAGTTTTATTTATTGTTTTCTATTGGAAAATATGTTGATATTTATAAAAATTCACAGTAAAATCGGTTTTAAAGAGCAAAAATCTCACTATCCTATATAATCCTACAGTAAATGTATCTGTATCTTTTTTAAAAATACACACATTTTGAAACACAATCAATGTAAAGTTTTACACACAAAAATTGCACTTTTAATTATACATCTTTTTTATGTTGAAACAAATAAGAAAATAACACAAACATTTATAATAACAGACTCTGAATAAAAAACATGTTTTTACATAACCAATAGTGAAAGTGATGCTCTTAAGAATTTCCGAAAGTTTCAATTATTTAAACCAAGCACCTGCACTTAAAAACTTTATTGTTTTATGGGTCAAGGTTTTGCGTTACAAGGAGATGGAGTTTTGTGACAAATATATGGGCCTACATACATTAATTAAGTGTTTTGTTTTTATGTTTGTATACTTAATGATTTTATTATTCAACTTCAGTACTCTGAGGCTTAATTAAATTGCTGTGATTATATTACTGACTCATTATATTAGTGTACTTAATGCCATTTAGACTTATTTCTTTACGATGAAAAAAAATGAATATACACTCGCTTGAAAAGTGTGAGGATATATAGTGATCGGGATGTCCATCGACCCGTCTGTACGTCTGTCCGTCCGTCTGTTTGGAGTACCCATCTCATATCCGCAACTCCTGTTAAATTACTGAATGAAATTTAATGAGACTTTCAGAGAATCTTTGTTGCACTATGGCGCCCATAGTGCACCTTTTATGATACTTTTTGACTGGACTCCTATTTTGGGTTTCCTACAGCAAAACATGGACATGACCATTCTTTCTATAATATTGAAGGGTACCAGTCACTTATTTGAAACTCCACCCATACCACAGAATAAAATTTGATGAGTATTTTACGGAATCTTCATAACATAGTGCTTTTGTGCAATTCATATTTTACTTTTTGATGTGACACTTATTTTCAGTCTCCCAGAGCAAGACTTTATCATTATAATCATATGGGTTGCGTGGGTGTCATTTAGTGAGCTCAGTGCTTACAGTACCTCTCGTGTTTGTTTAAAAAGGAATTATAATACCAAGGTCTGTGGACAACATTTTTAAGGGAATTGTCTATTTTTTACAGTATTGAAAACAACCTAAATAAATTCAAGAAGACATTGAATTTTGAAGATGACGAACAGTCAGCGATCTCAGTAAAAGCGAAACAAATTTGTAACTATTGCATAAACAAAGACCTTTGGAAATTCCAAAAGTCAATTGAGATCATAGTATATTCCCTTTTCATTGATAATTAAAAATTGCTTTACAAATCTAAAGCAGAGTCCCCCGTGAGGCAGTGGTTAAAGCCGCTTATATAGAGTCGCAGATTAAGGAGCAGAATCTTAGGCTGCTGGTTCGAATTTACATGAAGACCGGCCATCGAATGAAACCGTATGAGCCAATGTCCCGCGCGTACTGCATTAGATAGAGCACACAAAAAGATCCCCCAGTCTTCAATAGCCTTAAGGTATAAATTTACAGTCCTCCACCGGCCGGTGTAACAACGAAAAGTGACCCCCGTAGAATATTGACCAGGGGGTCATTTTTCTACGTAGAAAAATGACCCCGGGTCAATATCCTACGACAAGTAGGGTCATTTTTCGACTGTAGAAAAACATTCCAGACCAGTAATTCTACGACTCCACACACGTTGAAAAATGACCCTCATAAAAATTTGACCCCGTACTTTTTTGTACTATAAAACCTTATATCTGTGTCTTCTGATATTTTTTCATACTTTCAAATGTAAGGGGGAATTTTTTTATGTACTTTAATCCTTTCCAACATATATTGATTGCATATCTTAATAGTAGAATCACAATCAATGTATCTTGTATAGATTTATGTTTGGCTTGCAGAATCCCAATGAAAAAGTTCAAGAGTACTGTGCAACAATATATTCAAGAAGTGGTGTGAATCAGATGTGGATACTAAAAAATTCTAAAAAAAAAAAAAAAAAAAACTTTGGACAATTTGAAATCACAAGAATTTTCCAAAATCAACAGCTTAAAAACTTACGACTTTTCAAGTTTATACACAACCATTTCCAACGATAAATTAAAGTCCAGGCTTTTTTGTATCATTGACAGGTGCTTTTTCAATAAAAATGGAACTCATAAATTTACTTACCTGGTTAATGATCATTTGCAAAATTATTTTGTTAAAACACATTCTGATTGCACACAAAAGTACTCTGAAGTTGACATCAAAAAGATGCTTGAGTTTCTGATTGACAATATCTATGTGGTTTTTGGAGACCAAGTCTTCCAACAATCTATTGGCATTCCAATGGGTACCAATTGCGCTATTGCAATTGCAGACCTATTTTTGTTTTCATATGAAGCAGAATTTGTTCAAAATCTTATGCGTGAAAAGAAAAAAACATTTGCTGTGGCCTTCAACTCGATATTTAGATATATCGACGACGTATTAACAATGGTAATTTCCATTCCTACGTCGATACGATATATCCAGGTGAGCTTGAGATAAAAGATACCACAAAGTCTGACACATCTGTTTCATACTTGGACATTATACTTGAAAAAGACTTAAATGGTAATCTAACAACCAAGCTATATGATATACGTGATGACTTTAACTTTTCTATCGTCAACCTCCCTTACTTATATACCTTCAATATATCTTCATCACCTGCATACGGAGTTTATATATCTCAGTTGATTCGATACGCAAAAGTATGCTCTACGTATGAACAAATTCTAAAAAGAGGTAAATTATTGACAAGCAAGTTGATGAAACAAAAATATCAGCAGTCTTGTTTAAAGTCATCATTTCGTAAGTTCTATGGTCGATACAATGATCTTGTCAGCAAATACAATTTATCATTGAGTTAAATGCTGACTGACGTTTTCCATACTAATTGTTAGTCCATTATCTGTACGCTGAATTGACGACGGATTTTTTCGTTATATCCCGATCATGACAAGGAGCTCACAGAGGATGTGACAGGTCAGCAGGGGATTCTCACTCCTCCATGGCACCTGATCCCACCTCTGATGTTTCTGTGGTCCGTGTTTGCTCTGCTCCTATTTTGTATTGTTTGATGGACTTTGATAATGAAAACTGTTCGTGATCTCCATATTCTTCTTCATTGAGGAGCATTTATATTATATTTTTGGATGTTTTTTTATCATTCAAAGGTTTTGTTCAGAAAATGGCATGATATGTTTCTGATAACCATAAACTTTGAGAATTTCTACAAATCCAAAAACATAGCATAGAAGCAAGAAAAGATACGTAATTTAACTACATAAATTCAATTCCCTTACCTCTTACATGTACATTTAAACTTTCATATATCTGTATACACTCTGCTTTAAAATACATACTTTTTAACTACCTTATATAAGGTACTATACTTTTACGGGAAATACCATAGAAATATCTATAACTTAAAAAAAAACTTTCCTTTCCAACACTTTTTAGCCAACAGACACCTGACAAATGGTTGCTGTAACGTCCCCTTTCTTCTGAGATTTTATAGACACTCTTTGTCTATCATGCCATTACTTCAATATCCAAAGTCCTAGCACATACCATCCAAAAGTTAATGCTGAAGTAAAAGTTTGAAATTTTTGTGTAAAAGTGTGTCAAACTCCAAGGTCAAAAAGTCAAAATTGAATGTACACAAAAAGGTCTTGTCACAAAAATACACTTGAAATATGAAAGCCATGGTCCCACCCAGTCTAAAGTTATGGGCAATGTTCAAGTTTTTGCGAACAAATAGACAAACAGACAGACAGACGAACAGGTAAAAACTATATCCCCCCTTCCCAAAACTTCAGTCACGGGGGCATAAGTATAATATGTAAAGTAACAACTTTTTCATAATCCAACATTTGTTTTCTTTTTCTATTGGTAAGAAAACTCCTAAAATTTTTGGAAGACGAGCAGGCACGTAGCAACCGGGGGCCGGGGGGGGGGGGGGGGGGGCTGCGCCCCACCACTTTTCCCCCAGCATTACTTATAATAGGATTTTCGACTTTGAGCAACTTTTCTTTTCTTTCCCCCTTTTTTTTTTGGCTGGTCAACTTTTTCAGGTTCGTAAAAAAAAAATTTTCTCTGCCTGCCCCCCTTTCAAAAACGATGCTACGTGGCTGACGAGCACTTCTTTTTTTAGTTAATCATGTTTTATGCTAGAACCCCCATTTTGTTAAGGTTTAGTTGACACTAGCAAACGACAAAAGACATTTTACAGACTTTGAGCTAACCACTTTTTCTTTACTTTGTATCATAGGTCAGAGGCAATTTAATTTCGTACTTATTTTTTACAAATTAAATTATCAATATTTTTTATGAGAAGTATGAAACTTCATTCATAGATTAAAACTTTATTTTGAGTTTTGCAAATTATTTATTCAGGGTAAAATCAAAGAGATTTATAATTAATCAATTAATTAAGGAAATTTTTTAAAAAAAATTCTGACACCAGCGAGAAAATCACCCTTTAAAGATTAAGATGACAACTTTGGAAACTTACTGTATCAAATGTAATAAACGATTCTGTGAATTCTGAAGGCCAACTTTTTCAATGCCAACTTCTTTCAGTACCAATTTTTTCGTATCCAACACTACATTTCCCTTATATCGATTTCCTGTACTATAAAGTGGGGGGGACCAGTCTTTCACTGAACATTTCCAATAGTAAAAGCAATGTTGTGAAAAAAAAAGTGGGGGGGGGGG